CACCTCCCCGTCCCATCAACAAAGCATCACAATATACAATAATGGTTCTGTTGGATTCGGCAAAATCAAAACATGAGCTGCTGTCAGCCTTCTTAAAAGCTCTTGAAACTTTATTCACACTTTGCATCCAAACCAAAAGCTTAAACCTTCCTAGTCCACTGCGTCAATGGCTAAGATAACTTGGAAAAATCCTTCAATGAATTTTCGATAATAATCTGCCAACCCAAGAAAACTTCTAATCTTAAAAACAGATTTTGGAGCTTCCCATTGCGATACAGCTTCAACCTTCGACATATCAACCGCAATAACTCTGCTCGAGATCACATGATCAAGGAAACTCGCTTCCTTCAACCAAAACTCACACTTTGACAGTTTTGCATACAACTTTTTCTCTTTCAACGCTAATAACACAATTTTTAGATGTTCATCATGATCCTCTTTACTCTTCGAATATATCAAAATATCATTAATGAACATAACCAAGAACTTGTCCAAATAAGAATGGAAAATCCTATTCATATACTCCATAAATACACATGGTGCATTAGTCACACCAATTGGCATCACGAAATACTCATAAAGTCCATACCTTGTTTTAAAAGAAGTCTTCTGAATGTCTTCAGCCTTCACACAAATCTGATGATACCCAGATCTCAAATCTATCTTACTGAACACACTTGCAACAACCAACTGACCCATAAAATCATCAATCCTTGGAAGTGGACACTTATTCTTGATAGTCACCTTGTTCAATTGTCTATAATCCATACAAAGCTTCACAAAACCTTCTTTCTTCTTAACTAATAAAATTGGTGCACCCCACGGTGACACACTCGGGCAGAAAAACCTCTCCTCAAGCAGATCTTCAAGTTGATTCTTCAACTTCTTCGATTCCGGTGTAGACATACGATATGGAGCCATCGCTACCAAACTAGTTTCAGGAACTAAGTCTATCGTAAACTCTATTTTACGTTCCGGCAATAAATCACTTATCCCATCAGGAAAAACTTCCGGATAATCACAAATAATTGGCATACCACCAACTTCCCCAATTTATTAACACTCAAACTTTCCATCAAAATAAACATCTCAGCATCATCCTGCACCGACTCACCAAAATAATCTGTAAGCACTTAGCTTAACTCAAAACAATTCACTGCACACGCCATTTAAGCTTGCAAGATACGTCTATCCCATCCAACATGACTCCGTCTACTATCAACAAGAGATTAAGGGTGATCAGTTCCTCAATTTTTCAATAGACAGACGAAAATCATGATGAGGCATAAACCATCTTTACCAAACTATAAGAGTGTTCATCAGCATACTGAGCCACCACTCCAAACATGAAGCATTCTGGAGAAGCACAAGCTTCTCCCCCACTTCTTTCATTCTCACTTCTGCAGACAAAGGTTAGAAAACAAACGTGTACCGACAGTGTTTTCACACACATGTCACAAACTAGGGAACAAATAACATTCGACAATTTGGCCGGACGGACCGACCTGCTCTGATACCACTAATGTAAGACCCTTTTCTACCCCACAAATATTATGGCAAAATAATTGAATTTATCAGAGTAAAATATTGAAACGAAATAAAATCACCTCAAAGGGCGTACATTTCTCAATAAATTCAAATCAAGGTCAATGCTCCGTAAGCAACGGGTTTTCTCAAAATTACTCAAAAGTGCTCAAATGGCAGCGAAACTCAAAAAGGCAAATCCAAAGTTTTCCTTTCACCGCAAGGAAATCAACATAACAAAAACTCAATAAAATATAGTTTGACTCAAATGACCCCAACCTGATGTTACACTATCAGAGCAAGACCCTCTAAGTCAACCACAATGCCCAACGACCCAAAACTTCAAAAAGTCCTCGACGACATCCACGACTAAACCTGGTCATCTGCACGTTACCCACGTGGAGGCAACATTTAAACAGGTAGGGTGAGTAAAGCGATTCATAATAATCAATATAGGAATCAATATATAAAACAACGTCATTTTCATATTTAACATCATCATAATCATAAAGGAACATTAAAGGTCACAACATTATAAATTACACCAAATTGTCACATAAATGCAAATGCAACAAGACTCATGCATGTAGTACCAATCAAAAAAAATTGATGGACACTGGGCCATCAACCCTCCATAGATCCACAACAATAGGATTGATTCTACACAAGAACCGGAGTACAACAAAATACTTCACATCCGCACAATGGGACTGAAGCCACAAGAATCAAGGTCCTAGACCGAAGTCTGGAATGCATATGAATGTATGATGCACACGTCAATATCATCTTCATAATAATCTCATTAGGTGCATCATCATTCATCAAAATCATCATATATTCATCCAAACTCATGGAATAAATATAATAACTCATCATCATTACTCATAGGAATCACAGTCATACTCTTGGTAATTCATCAAGAAAATCACAGCATCAAAGCATCAATATAGCACTGCACAAGCATACGCACAAGTATTCAATAAATTATCCACCAATAATTTCACAACCGGCAGCAAACAGTGCAACAATTCATTAATAGAACATATACACAATTGACTTCCCAGACATATTAAATATAAAAATATTGGGAAACCAATTCTCTTATCTATACTATGTTATAGCCATGTTCATTATCTTTCCAACACTTATATTTATTTAAATTAATAACAATACCAATATATTCATATTATATACTATTATTTAAATAAATAACCCAAAATCCATAGTTCTCAATATTTCATACCAACCACCGCAAATCACCAAAAATGCGAATATTCATATTTAAATAAATTAAATAAATATTCTAATAAATTTGGGGTGTTACACTTCATCTCTTCTTCTTTCGAAAATTCCACTTGACAATACTAATTCTTCTTCATAATTTCTTTCACACGAGGTTCCTTCATTTGATGTTGAATTCTCCAAAGACCGTTCAACTACTGAGTATGTTCTTTCGAAGGAAGCCATGGAAGTTGTTTGATAAGAGGTTAATGAGGTTTATGAATCTTAATTCTTTGAGTATGTACCTTCATCTTTAAGTAATTGGAATATTTCGTTCAATTTCTTAATAATTTCCTCTTTCTTTGATTTTTCCTGAAATTTACAAACATTCCCATCTTTTGATTTAGGATAATGTTTCCAATTCTTAATTCTTATATATTTATAAATGGCAAATGTTCCAATATAATTTCTAGCAATTCAAAACTTTGAAAAACATTGATGAATAATATCTTCATCTTTTTTGTCTCGTATGTTCATCTCCTCTTGTTCGATACTTGGAGAAACTCCATATACCATCTCAAGAGTATCCCATATTTTCTTGGAGGTTTTACAACTACAGATATAAAGAAGTTTACTATCATCTAAAGTCATTACTAAAAAGTTTTTTGCTTTGAAATCTATTTCAAAATTTCTCTTTTCTTCTGTGGTCCAAAGAGAATCAGGTTTATCTACTACTTCTCCATGTACTTGGTGAGTACGGATAAACGTAACGTTGATAATAGTTTTCCACAATTCATAACTAATACAATTACGTCTTGAAGATTTAGATTCTCCATTCTAATTAAACTCTTACCTGCGGAACTTAGTGTCTCCTTAGGCATGACAAGACTCAAGAATCATGCCTAAGAGGCGCGACAAATATCTAGTTTGAAAGACTTGATAATAAGTCTTGCCTAAGAGTTTGATGGAAGCCCCGCCCAAGTATGTAAAACGCCTTTATTGAGGGACTTATAGTCTCATCAGTCAGGTTATATACAATTCTGTCTGGAAGAGTTAAATTCTCTAGGATAATTAAAGTGTCGCCTGAGGGACTTAGTGTCTCATCGGGCGGGATAAGACTCAAGAATCACACCTAAGAGGTGCGATATATAGCCAGCTTGAAAGACTTTATAACAAGTTTTTCCCAAGGGCTCAATGGAAGTCCCGCCCAAGTAGGTAAAAGGCCTTGCTTGAGGGGGCTTATAGTCTTAATCTTCCGGCCTATATATGATTATATCTCGAAGACTTAGATTCTCCATTCTCATTAAACTCTTGCATGAGGGACTTCGTGTCTCCTCGGGCGAGACAACGCTCAAGAAACAATTCTAAGAGGCGCGAGAAATATCCTTCTTTAAATACCTGATAACAAGTAGGTAAAATATAGTCTCAACACATTCTCTACAACTTAAAGAGCACAACGCTCACTATAGTCTCAACATGGTCTCACTATAGTCTCACTATAGTCTCAACACAAAATTGTTTGTAAATATACGCTTGCTACCAAGTATCATCGATCATTAAAGCCTCTCATCTCGCGTGAGCAAGTCTCCTAAGTTACCACAAAATACTACGTTCAGGGCTTTTCCCTATCGTGGGCAAGTCTTAACCATCATATCATATTATAAAACTACTAAAGTCTCTTAGTTTGATACATGCACACCATACTTTATAACTAATACAACTTTAATGAACCATCGAGATGAAACTAGATAAGATTTCATGAGTTTCATAAATCAATTTGAAACATATCATAATTTAAAAAACGATACGAACTAATAATGGATCTGAATTCATTATTCCATCTATCAATGTTTCTAAATGTTTCTTACATCAAACCAGTTAGGTAGAATCTTCCAAACAAAATGGAATGTTTGAGAGGAAACATCATCAACATTTTATTTTTATTTTTAATGTAGGAAGAACATTAAATTTCCAATCTAATTTGCCAAAACGTTTTTGGATATATGTTGTAACTCATGTTGTTACCTAGTCTTATTCTTCAAGAAAAATTTCCATATTCTCTCTTGCATGATACATTACATGATTTATATCTTGTAAAAGTTTTGAATAATTGGTTTTTGTATCCACTTTACAATCACACAAAACCAAAAAAAACACAAACAAAAACAAAGTTCTGTAGAAGTTTAACTTAGCCTAGCAGACTAACTAAATTGATCATATTCAAATTAAAAGAAATTATATTTTCACTTTTTAGATTAACAAACAGACACACTGTTGATAACATTAAGGTAAAAATCCCAAGATTCATCTGTTTCAGTGATACGTTCTTGCCCAAATGGATGCTCCTCTACATACTTCATCATATTTTCAGTACTTGCTAATCCTTCCAAATATCGTCGCAGATCCCCTCCCACCGCTGACAAAAAAAAAACATGTTTGTTATCGATTTAGGCGTGTCGGATCCAAACCCTAGACATTAAATAAACCATACCTAGTGAATTGTCATTCTGATTCTTATAACTGTATGTATGAGGAAAGATAGAGTTGTATGGCTACAATAATTTATCAAAACATCAAACATAAGTTAGAACATGTTAGACAAAAAATAAGAATGATAAATGAGAGACCAAGAAAAAAAAGAAGAAGAAGAAGAGAGTGTTTGTTTGTTTACATGATTAAGCAGTGCCTTGTAGGGAGAATCATCCAAAAGCAATGTGTTTGATTCATTGTAATATCCCTTCTCCAAAGGAACATTAGGATCATAGTTTTCCCAAATTTTCCTTAAATCCTTAAAAACAAGTGGCTTGTGCTTGTTTTCAAGAGTTTTGAAACTTGTTTCAGTACAATGTGACAGATCCTGTCAAAAAATATTTACAATAATTATACACAACATGGTTACTCAAAATCTCACAAGTGCTTATTTGCAACTTATAGCAAATGCTTATGAAAATAATTAATTCTTACCCAACAGAAAACCAACTTTTGTTTCAGGTCTCCCAGCAAATGATCAATGACATTATCAACATTTCTCCTACAAAATTATAGGCAACAACTAATTAATTGTATACAAAGTAAAAAAACAAGTTGTGATAGTGATGTTTTATAGAACACAAAGATTAAGTTAAAGATTACTTCAATCTTGAAGACCACACAGCAACTTCAAATCTCTCAAAGCAGAAGTTAAGAAACTCAAGATAAAAAGGCCTCTTGAATACTGAAAAAAATAATACAATCCAGTCATTAAAAATAATACTAATTAATGATATACTACTCCTTCTAGCACTTATTATAAAAATAAAAATCAATACAATTAATATTTGTTGTAACTTTTTAAAATAATTTTTACAAATATATTTTTGTAAAAAAATTATAAAATATTAAGTACATCTTAAAAGTAATGTTGTAAATAATACACTTTCAAATTTTTGACATACTATTTTCTAATACTAAATACTTCCTCCGTCTTACAATGAGTGATTTATTTGAAATAAAAAAGTATCTTAAAATAATTATCAATTTTAATTTTTAATGCAACTTTTTTAATTTTACTTTAAAATTAATATTATTTTCATCATTCCCGATACATGATAAAAATATTTTAGTAAAAATATCATTTTTTTCTCTTTTATTTATTTATTTTTCTTAATCTACAAAAAAAAAAGTTGTCAGTATCACTTATTGTGGAACGAAGGAATTGTGGGACGAAGAAAGTGAGACTAATAAACTTTTTATATTAATTGTTTGAAGAATTATAAAACTTTTAAAGTCAAACATAATAATAAAAAATAAATAAATAGAAGCTATATCTTACATGCTTTATAGCCTATGATTGCATCTGGTTTAACATGCTTTGGAGGTGAAGAAACAATATCAGCAAGAAGACCATTAATATCAAGAACAATAAGCTTCTTTCTAAAACATGCAATTGATATTTCAATTGAAGAATTGCACAAATTATTCTCCTCTTGCTCTTTTTTATCAGCAATAGATAATTGGGTTGTTATTTCTTCAATAAGAGTGTCTTTCGCACCAGAAACCACTTTCCTTTTATCCATGTCAAAGTGAATTCTGATAATATGAAACATCATAATAAAATTCATTCAAATTAATGTACCATCATAATAAAAACATGATCTAACAAAATACAATAATTATAACAAGTGTGTGACAAGAACAATAACAATAACGTGATTACTCATATAAAAAACAGAGAAAAACAGAATTGGAGAAATTTGAATGTAACATACCAAAGAAGTGTATGAATTTTGTGATTCATGACTTGACAATAGAGGAATATAAATAGAGAAGAGGAAAGTTAAGTAAAGATTATTGACCTTTAGGATTTCAGTTTCTTGGTCTTTGTGGAGTTGTTGGAAAGTTCAAAGGACAATGTTGGAAAATAACGTGTTATAGTTACCTCTATTTATTTAAAGTTTTTTTTCTTAAAACAAATCAGCTTAAGGTTTGTTATTTACAACAACCAAAATTGATATTAGCGAAATACTAGCCTATGTTCTCGAAAATTTGTTTAGAAATTAAAATATTTAATTGAACATTATTTAATAAATTAAAAAGATATATTTTTATAATTATATGTATATTTAATTGACTAAAAACATAAATAAAAACCTTTTAAAAACATATTATGTGTATTCAACAAACGGAACATAACATAATATTTTTATGATATTCTTATCAACTATTAATGTATAACTATTAGAAAAATTGTCCTTCAATGTTTCTACCTTTTACACTATCAAAAAGACAATTAAAATTATTCTCAATGAAGTCTCCACCATCCACGTTCATAAATTATACTTAAATTTTCGATCCATATTTGAGTCTCTCTGACCACTTCAATCATGTTTTGTAGTTCTATTACTCTGATCACTTCAGGTTTCACTTTTATTCTTTATTTAATAAACGTTTGTTTTAAATGTCTAAAATGTCACTGTGTTAGTTACATTAGTCTTGTCTAATAACTTTTGTCAAATTCTGTTAACTTGTGTACATGTAGCACTCCAGCCGCTACTAGGTTAGATGACATGAAATTGTTATATTTTGTATTAGATTTAAAATTTAAAAACAAAAGAAGATGAAACATATTTGTATCCTTTTATTTCCATTTTCATTGAAACTAATACATTTCACCTTCATTGAAGATGAAACAAACAATGTTGGAGGAGAAGTGAAGTGAAATGTTTTCACTAGAATACGAAGATGAACTGCATTCATCTAAGTCACGTTCGAAGAAGAACCCCTAAGGTTTGAATACTCAATTTTGAGTTAATAAAAATTTAAACTTTTTTGGTTTGGCCATCTTCCTTACTGAGTCTTCTATCTTATGTAGCTTGATTAGGTCATGAATATTAGTTTTCTGTGTATTGGGCATCATGAAGGTGAGTTTTCTAAGTTTACCAAGTTAGGTTATAAATGGTTAAAGGAAATTTGGGATGTTGTTCGCACGTGTTTTTCGCGTGGTTAACCTCTGACCTCCCAACGCGGGTTTGCTTACGGGACCAGCCAAACTAGTCCCAGGACTCAGGTTCTGGGTGTGTTGATTACTTAGGATTTATGATGCACTCGACAGTTTTGTGTTTTTGACAGTGTATATGATGAAATTTAAACAAGTAAAGACAATGATGCTTAGTAAGACAAAGAAATATTAAAAGAGTGACATAAAAGTAAAGGCATTGTTTTCATAACATAAAAACTTGGTAAATTCAATGTAAAAAAGGAAAGTACAAATGGGCGTGTTCATATATTTTCTAAGGAAAGAGGAACTATTTTCTCTGTGTGTGGTACTCAGAGTGTTTTTCTTAAAATGTTGATTGTCGTACCTCGAAAAATACGATCTTCGCGATGCGCAAAACTAGGGTTTGCACGATCACGGATAGACTTATAAGAGTCGCCACCGAACTTTATTTACTCCACGAAGGAAGAAGGGAAAATATCGAGAAAACCCACAGGAAAAGAAAAAGGATAGGGTATGGTCATCGTAACCATATTGGGTTCGGAAGTCGGTTATGTAAGGAGAAGGTGTTAGCACTCCCTACATCCATCGTACTCGATGAGAACCGTCTAAGTTATCTAGGCATGTATGTTGTTCGATATCTTATTGCTTGCTAAGGGAAAGAAGTGATTGATTACTTGAGGGAAAAATAAAGATTTTTTATTATTGAGTTCATCCGAGTTTTCAACCCAGTGCCTAGGTATCCCAGAAGGAATCAGAACTCTGTAGTTCTTGTTGAAAATATTTTTGTTTGTTATGTGTTTTTTATGGACAATGCTAGGAGCATGTCCTTTTTGAAAATTTAAACTGAAAAGTCAATGATCAGTGAATTTTGATGCACGTTCTTCCATATTTGTACTCAAGCATTTATTTGATTTTATTTATTTATTTTTATGTTTTAACGTGTTTTTATATTTTATTTTATTTTTGCATTTAATTGTTTTTCGTATTTATTTTTCAGCTTTAGCAGCTTTCGCGAGAAAAATCATAACTGGAGTTCTGGGAGTCCGTTTGAGGCATTCTAAAAATCGCCGGAAAGCTAAGAGAGAGAGCTACGACTTTCGTGTTGGAGTCGAAGTCAGATTCGGAGCCCAAAATTCCAGAATTTCGTTTGAAGTTACAGCATTAGGAATTTGTTTTAGTTTTGGGTCATGTTTTGGGTCTGGGTTATATTTTTGACCCAGTTGGGTTATGACCCGAATTCTGGTTTTTATCCTCTTTAGTCTAGGTCTGGCCGTACAGCCAAAGAAAAATCCTATTCACTATTCACGAAAAAAAAAAAAAAAACCTTTGAGAAGAACTCATGGAGAACTAATACCTCCGGGCAAATTCTGCGGTGTACGGTTTCAACACTTTGAGGTTATTATTATGTCAATTTACTCTGATTCCTTTCAATCCTTTTATATGAAGTCATCTGCTTAATTTGATTGCAATTGTTTGCTTAATTCAATTGTTGTTCATAGGATAGAATTGGTTAAATTCGCTTGTATGCATGTTCCTAAATTTAATTGCGTATTATCGTTTCTTAATTCGTTAATTCGTCATATTCTTAACCGTTTGCTTAATTCGGTAAACAGGAACATAATTCATTTGATGTTGATAAGCGCTTGTCTGATTAATATCGTAATCGAATAGGATTGGTACCGCTTAGGGATTGATGTTATAATAACCAATGATAAGTCGGAACCTGAATCAGTAGGATTAGCCGTTTTAGTTTATCTGATAATCACTTTTTTTAATCACACTTTTTTTCCTCTTATTTTATAAATCAAAACTTAAAACCCCCATAAACATTTTCTTTAGTTGGTTGAAATAATACAAGAATCCTTGTGAGAACGATATTTCGAGTCATTTGTCGCTATATTACATTTTTATCAAAACTACTCGTTTTTGATCCGCGAGCGACCGCGGATCAGTCAAGTGGAAAAATGATTTGAGATGTGTGAGATGTTTTTTTTAGAGTTTTTGAAAGAGAAATTAGATATAGGTTAAAGTATTTTTTTGTATTTTTTAAGAAAATAAATTTTAGTTTTAAGAGAAAAAACTAACCTAATTCTATGATCCTAAAAATTAAGATCAAGGGGGAGACTACGCTAATATTATCGTGCAATGAAATACTTTAACAATTACGGTCGATGGCGATCATGAATGGTTGACTTACAAGGTATGAAAATGACTTGATTAAATCAAGAATTAGTTTTAAAAGAAATTCATGCGTGAACAGAAACAAGATGTATACACAATATTAACATCATACATCAAATGACTCAAAATATAAATTGAAACAAAAAGTGCACGGATTAAAATCATGACACAAATACGCAATTCTAAGTCGCGTAAGCGAAAACATGCAAGGCTACAAAGAGGAATTAGATCGGATCCACACATGACGATGTTGGATCGTTGAAAAATAATATAAGTTGAAATAGAAAATTTCTACCATATTAGCGGTCATCGCAAGTCGAGTCACGAAACGAGATAATAAAATTAAAGAAAATCACAAATTAAAACACAAATCGGTAAGCGCAAAAAAATTGACTGTCATTACGCTAAATCGTCGGATGCATATAAAATTGAAACACAACAATAGATCCGCACATAAACCAATAAAATGCATCACTATCTTGCTACACTTAACGTGATCATCGCAAGAGGGACCAAAACTTGTGTGGATCTAAAAAAAACGTAAAGCAAAAGAAATTTTAAACGTTTTAAAATAAAAAATGTTACTAACACAAAAATGCGATCATCGCAACTGGATCGAACAAATACACATGTCACTTATCATGCACACCTATATGCAATAAACGTATTTTGACACGATTCGGTTCAAATAATAAATAAATACATAAATAATATATATATATATATATATATATATATATATATATATATATATATATATATATATATATATATATATATATATATATATATATATATATATATATATATATATATATATATATATATATATATATATATATATATATATATATATATATATATATATATATATATATATATATATATATATATATATATATATATATATATATATATATATATATATATATAGGCAATATGAATATAAAAATAAAAAAAATTGTTATATTATGATTATTAAAAAAGAGGATATATGAAACGAAATGTATTATGGTTTCTAAAATAAACACATTACGTACTAATTATATATTGTGATTCTTAATACAATCATGATATATCTATATTATATATTATAATATGTATTAGTAGTTTAAAGTCATATTTAAATAAAATAATGTATGTTAGCAACAACTTGAAACAGAGACCCCAATGCGCAGGAACAACAGCGGCATGTTAGTAACAGATGGAAAAAACCCAATGCGAGCAAAAACGAAATCGGAAAATCAATATATACACACATGTTAGTCAATGGCAAATACTAGCAGTAATATATTGAAACCATAATATATAGTAGCAGCATCTTACGTGGCAGTCACAACTTTTCTATCTTACGGTCTCTTTCATCAACAATACACCTAGATATATATAGGGGTCAAA